TCCCTTGACTAAAGTGCAGGAGGGCAGAGGAGAGGACCCAATGCTAAGAGAGACTGTACCTCCACAAGGGGCCTTGCCCCCTGGTCCTGGGTCTTCCCTTCCCCTCCCCCTGCAGGGTGAGGCCTCCTGCCCTGGGGCTGCTCTCAGCAGGGGATACTCCTCCCCTGGGGCAGGGTGACCTCTGGCTTCCCAGGGTCAGCAGGTCAGAGGCAGAAATTCCAAACTTGGGGTTCACATCTCTCGGGCACCTGAGAGGATGATGTCAGGGGGAACATGGATCATCTTGATCAACACAGGATGTGACAGATCCCTCCAGGTGCATGGGAAAGACCACATGACTGTCAAAGGCGGAAAACTGGAGGAAGAGATGACATAGGGAGGACAGAAGATGGGCCCCGTGGGAGTATCAGGCAGGAGCACCCCAAGGCTGAGGGAGCCATGTCTGCTCTGCCTGAGATCACAGTGATGACATGGTCCCCACAGAGCTGGGAGAGGATTGGGGTCCCCATGAGAGGAATCAGAAGCTATATTGGGAGGAGGATCCTGAGGACACTCTGACTCTCCTGAATCCCCCTGACATGCCCGCTTGGGGTCTCCTCTCCCTCTGGATGAAGATCCCACCTCCTCAGATGACTCTCCCTGAGCCCAGAGGGAAAGAGAGAGAAGAGGAGGGAGACGGGGCTGGGAACAGCTCACAGAGGATGAGGGGACAAGCCCCCCCCAGGACTCTGGGGACATGGACTCTGGGGCTCAGCTGGGGGTGGACAAGCTCCTGAGGTGAGAAGGACCATGAGTGTCAGATGAGCAGCTTCAGTCTAGACCCAGGGTCTGCCCCATCCTGTCTGGGGCCTGGTGTCTCCTCCTCTCCTCAGTCTGCTCCTCAGGTCTGCAGGGGGAGGTGCTGAGTGTATGACAACTGAGATTTAAGTTTCTCATTTTTGTGTTCAAAGCGGGCCATTTAATGCATTTACTTTATAATTACTAGCATAAACGTTTTCTACTATAATCAATACAAAGTTTCCTGTATAAAAATCTGTCTTAAAATAAGTAATCTTGTGTAATTTTTAGGAAATCATAAACATGACTCTCAAATATATAACAATTAATATTATTAATTAATCAGTGACAGCACTGGTATTATTGCAACATGCTACAAAGAGGATTTTGAGGAATAGATCCTTTATTGTCCAGCATGAAAGCAACTTAAAATAAAATATTCTAAGAAAGAAAAAACTTGTACTATCTATGGATAAAAACAATATAGTCTTCAGAATTATCTTTTTTGCTTTACAGACAGCATGTGACTTCACAGCAAACACATTCTTTACTAATGATAAAAACCCAAGTCAAACCTTATACATTTACTAAAAAGTTACATAAATTTGAATTTAATTATAAAATCTCTCTAATGTCCCATTAGATCAAAAGACACGACACACACCATATTTATTTATCAGTTTTCAATAGTTTTTTTCAGAACAATAGAAGTAAAAAATTCATGGATGGTAGCTGACGGTAAATCCTAAAAATGACAAGCATCCCACCATGGGATCCAGAAGAAAAGCAGTACAACTGGGAGAGACCCATGTCCTCGGCTGTGACTGGAGTGTCCCCTCCAGGGCTCATCCTGACACTGTGCAGGGGGCAAAGGGATACACTCCTGGAATCACACAGGAGGGCATGTGGGGACATGTGGGCCAGGAAGTGATACATGGGTGATGGGGGATTCCACAACTGTGACTACTCAGCTCCTCACACACAAGATTGACACATATTTGAACATCCACACAACACAATTGTATGTTTTTAACTACCAAGACAAGCTCCTTTACGCATCTCCAAAACAGACAGTGCCAATCTTTGTATCTATATTACTTATTTCTCAAGTTCAGTCACAATTCAATTGTTTATCTGTTACCCAAAAAATACATCATAAACATAAGATATTTTTCAGTATCTGGATTCCTCAGCACAAGCTCAAGTTGGATAAAATCCAGTTAATTTAGGACACAAATTCATAGCTCATTCCCTTCCTTGTCCAAACATTATGAAAACCCCTTGAAATATTTTCTTTATGAAAAGAAAAATGATCTCCCATGGTAACATTCTTCCTACCCCAAACAGGTTCAAGTCAGTCAATTTCACCATCTGTGGCCTCAGCACAAGGCCTGACCTGACTGTTCTCACAGCCACGGCAGTAAATGGGTGATGGGAGAGTCCATGCATTCGACTCCTCAGCCCCACACTTACAATGTATACACTGCTTATCTTTAAATATCAAGAGAAAGCTTCCTTTACAAGTGAAGAAGTGCTCACCTTTCCCCAAAATGAGGGGAGAGACAGCCCCAATTTTTGTATCTAACATGCCATATTAGGTATTTTTCAAATTTGCTCACAATATCTTTATTCTATTTTTTTTTAAGATTTATTTAGGCATACAAGAACTGGGGTGTAGACCAGAGGTACAGGGGGTGAGAGGATTCACCAGAGACAGAGTGGGGAACAGAACAGGTAGATTAACTAAAATACACTGTTAAGGGGAACAGCGGGCAAGACAGGAGAGGTCAGCTGTGCCATATGGGTTAGCTCCCTAGTTTGGGACAGTAGTTGTGCTGCAGAGACTGCAGATAGCTTCATAGTGCTGTGTTTAAGCCCTTGCGCCACCAGGGAGGCCCCTTTATCTAATTCTGTTATCCAAAACTATATTATAAACATAAACTACATCAACTTGTATAAAAACACAAGGGAAGGGTCTCCCCTGATGGTGCAGGCAGCTGAGCGCAGTGCTGTGAAGGTGTCCAGAGCCTCCGCAGCGCTGGTTCGATCCCCGCCGGCTGGAGAGGGTCCCACATGGTGAGGCAGACCTCTCCTGCCATGCCCACTGCTCCCCTCAGCAGTGTATTTCGTCAGTCTGCCTGTTCTGTTCCCTACTCTGTCTCTGGTGAATCCTCTCACCCTCCCATGCATCTGGCCTGTACCCCGGTTCTTGTGTAAATAAATTAATTAATTATAAAAAGCACAAGGGAAGATGACAAATGAAGATAATGGGTAATAAATACAAATTAACACATACAAGAGAAATTGTTAAAACTATTATAATCTCTTTACAGTCTGTAGTACCAAGATGGGCCACTGTGGTGGTTTCGTATGATCCTAGCAGACTGAGTAAAGGAGAGTCCTGGAGCCCTCTGTGGATTTCTCAGGCTTTTATTGAGCTTCACATGCAGAGCAGCAACCAGGTACATGGCAGGCAGGGTTGCGGGGGTGGGGAGGGGGGGGCGCCAGCAGGCTTCCAAGCCCCTGGCAAGACTTCACTCTGGGATTCTCTGGCTTTCTTTTCTCCCCTTCTCTCTCCCACCTCTTCTCCTGCTTCATCTGCTTCTCTCCTGCTTCTGCTTCTCTCCATAACTGTCTCAATACTCCTCCCGTGGCCCACCGAAGTAAATAAGACAGCTTGCAACAATGTAACAGCTACAGGTGCCCCATCCGGCAGGGCAATCTTAATGGTAGGAGGGCAGAAAAGCCTGAAAACCATTTACTCTACACAGTCACACACCATCAAGATGTCTGACTTCTCCCCACTCCCCTTTCTTCATCTTCTTCTCCCACCAGAACCAGGTCAGTGTCCCTGAGGGAGGGATCCACCTTCCTCCCTGCAGGTCTGGGGCTCAGGATCTGGCTTCCTCTGGCAGCTGTGGTTCCCGTGACCGAGTCAGCACAGGGGTCCGTGGAACTCAAGTTCCTGCTCCCCAAGTCACCCGAGTCTGAGAGTCTCTTCTTCATTCTCATCTTAATTCAGGGAGCTGTTCTCTCCTTTCCAAATGGTGTTGACACAAAAGAGGAACCAGATCCTTCTCCTGAGTTCACCAAATTAACACACCACAAGTATATCACTGGTCACAGAAATTCATCAGCTTTGATAAAATTAAGTGTATTTCATCCATTCCAGAATAGGAAGCAGATAACAGAATATTAGGCTCCTTGGAAAATCCATCGTTCACCATTTCCCCAAATATTTTGGAGGCAGAAGTTTCTGGTCAGATAGTTCAGACCCCTAAATATAGATCTGGGGACCCTCCATCAGGCTCTAGGTTCCTCCAAACAAAGTCAAGTTGGATAAAGTAAACTCCAATTAATTTAGGAGAATCATTCAGAGATCATCCCCTTTCTTGTCCTAAGAGCATAAAATCCCCATGAAATATTTTCTTTACCAAATAAAAAAATTTCCCATGGAAAAATTCATCCTGCCCTTAAAGGGTTCAAAGTTATGTCTCAGCACAAGGCCTGACCTGACTGTTCTCACAGCCACGGCCCAGGAATCTGCACCCAGAGCAGGAGGACGAGACTCCAGCATCCGGGACTCACAGGTTTGTCCACAGGGAACCTGCAGCCCCCAGAAGAGCCCAGGGCAGGGCTGGGCAGGGAGGGGCCTCATGGGGTCTCAGGGGCTCAGGGGAGGAGGGGGGCTTCAGGCCCTGGGGGAGCCCCATCCACACCAGAGCCCAAGGGGATCCCCTCCCTGGGGGACTCACAGGCTCCTCCAGAGAAGGAGGATTGTTCATGGGCACAGAGGGCTTCTGGGGCCCAGCCTCCAGGGGGCAGAGGGTCATGGACACATCTCCAAAATAACAGATGAAGTATGGAAGGAGAGTCCCAGAGAAGGACTCAGGAGGGAAGGAGAAAATGCGCGAGCCATCAGTCATGTCATAGAAGGAGACGTCCCCTTGATCATAGTCCAGGAAAACCCCCATCCTGTGGGGAACCTGCCTAAGAAGCAGCCGAGTAGGAGGGTCAGTAAAGGCTTGGAAAATATAATTTTGCCGGCCAAAAACCCATTTTCCTTTCTCTTTCCCAAAAAACCATTTCTGTGGGGACAGAGCACCAAATCTAGTTTTCTCAACTTTCTTCCAGACCCCCAAGCCCCACTCAGTTCTGTCTGCATTCCTGACTTCTACTTCCCAGTAACAGCGCCCTGATGTGATGCCCTCAACACCCCAAACATTGTATCCTCCTTCTAGTCCATCGTGATAACAGTTCAGACTCTTCTTATCATGAGAGAGGACAATTCTGCGGTGGCAAGAACCTGGATCCAGAGTGACAGGCCCTGCAGAGAGAGAACCCATATACCAGCCTGACATAACAAGGGCACACACCTCCTCACCCCAGATACTCAGCTTTATGGGGAGAGGGATATGTTCCCTGAAATGAAGCCTGATGACCCCAGCCCACAGTCCACAAGCAAGAGAAGGAACCACAAGATTACTGGGGCTCAAATGTCACAGGACCCCTGGAGACCCGTCTGGACCCCCAGGACTAAGGAGCCCCTTCAGCACCCATGACCAGTCATGCAACCACCCTCTACCCTCCATGGAGGGTGCAGAGTCTGTGCCCACAGAGAACAGAAGGAAAGGCCAGAAGCTGAGCAGCCCCAGAGAGAACAGAGTCACTCACAGGCCCGGAACTGCTCCTTCCGCCAATCTGCAAGAGACACACATGTCATGTGAGGGACTCTAGATGCTGACACATCAGGGCCCACACCTACTTTTCTACAAGACAATAACAGAATTTACAGATGAGAATATTTGCAAATGTTTAGTTGATGCATCTATCTTTTAGATTCATACACATGCACATACATACACACAGTTTTTATGCTGCAAATTTCCCATGATTAAGACCTAAAGCTTAATACTCAGGGTTGTAGGCTGGATACCGACTGAACAGAAAGGTCTTTACCCAAATACGACCATCAAATTATACTTTTTGAGTCTCCAGCCACAGGCCCATCCTGGAAAGTAGGTTTTCTTGAACAGGTTCTATGGAGATGAAATGCCCAGGACTGCGTGTGCTTATGAAGAACTAACAGACCTGGACGTGCAGCTTCTCTCTGAGCCACGGGGCTTAGTGCCTCAACCAGCCCAGGCCTGTGTGCGGCCCGATGCTCCTGCCTCCTGGGGCAGCGAAGGCCTGCAGAAGCCTGGAGATGTGGGGACTGGTAGGCAGAGCATTCCCCTCGGATTGTGAATAAATCTGTTTGTCCAAGAAGGGGAGAGAGACAGATAGACAAACAGAGAGACTGACACAACCTGACTGAGCTGCATGTGGGGGTGACTGTGACATGAGTGAGGAGACTCAGGACTCTCAGCAGAGGTCCCTGCCCACTCAGGAGGGGGTGGAGAGGGTTCTAGGGAGGAGAGACATGCAGAGTAGGGACATGGACACACACTGAGAGGATCAAACACAAGTGAAAACTTTCCACATTTTCATGTGTGGTGGGGACAAAACCATGCCTATAGAAAGAGAACACACTTTGGATTAACACAACTGTTTCCTTCAAGAAGAGCCCAGAAAGATGTAGACTTCAAAATAAAACCTCTCTGTATGAGCAGAATAATGACTTCAAAGATGTCCATGTCCTCATCCCATGAACCTGTCAAAATGTGTTCATGACAGAGAAGAGAGAAAACTGCAGGTGGGACAGAGATGGGACCTAGAAGCAGGGAGATTATTGAGGATCATCAGGTGGAGCCAAACACAAGAGCTTTAACAGCTGTGACCCTGCACCTGTGCTCAGAGACAGTCACATGGTGAGGGCAGCAGGGCCATAAAGAGGCTACACGGCAAGCTGTGTAGACAGAGGATGGGGGTCCCCCACAATGCAGGGGGCCTTAGATCCTGGGAGAGGAAGGGACTCCTGGAAGGAAGGAGCTGCCAGACCCTGGAGTTAGTCCCAGGACACGGTCTCAGGTGTCTGCCCTGCAGGCGTGTGAGATGATAAACTGTGTGGGTGACACTGCTCAGGGTGTGGTGATGTGTGGCAGCAGCAGCTGGAGCTCTCATGCCTCATGTGGGGACCCAAGCAGCTGAGCAGGGCCCTGGCAGGGGAGGGTCTGGAGGGAGCACCAGGACCCCATGATGCACATGGAGAGATGAGGACCCTGAAGTGTCACCTGCTTTGGGGGGAGATGGAGGGAGAGAGAGGGGCCGGAGAGCAGGCAGGGAGGGAAGGATGGGTGAGGAGAGGAGGACAAGGACGTGGGACAGGAGGAAGGAGCCAGAAGGTTCATCAATTTGCTGACCAGAGACAGACCCAGACCTTGACTCTGCTCTGGAGGGAGGGTCACCCACAAGCCCTAATGACCAGAGGGGACGTGCCCTGCCCCCCTCAGCATGTGCCACACAGGATCATAGACCAGTGGCCCCAGGGGAGCCCCTGAAATGACTAAAAGGGGAGCACAGGCCCCTCCACCCCTAGTGTCCCAAGGCCATGTCATCCCCACCTCACACATCCTGGGAAGGAGGAAGCAGGTCATTCCCCAGCACTCAGGTCAGACACAGCAAGACTCTGAGGCCATCAGGGGAGAGCGTGAGTTTCCCAACCATGTGAGGAGGGGGAGAGAGGAGAATCCAGGATCCACATTTATAGGAATAAGGAACAACATCTTCTTGTGCACATGGTGTGTAAATGTGTGACACCAGCCACACCTGCACAAGCTCACTCAGAGAAGCTGGCTTTTCCATCTTTGCTTGATAGGAAACAACATCACATGCAATGACTGGGTGGCATATATGTGACCTCTTTGTGAAAAAAGATTTTAAATTTACTGGTATTTGCTGAGACACTAGTTGACATCCGCTATAATGCTCTACTCCATGCTTCTCCATACAACAATAAAAAACAGGGAGTGGAGGAGAACAGGAACAGGAGCAACAGGAAAAATGTAGAAAATCCAGTGACATTTAATGTGAGACACAGCATGCCCAGTACTGTGTGTGCACTGACTGCGCTAGTCAGTTAATTTTTGCAGCAAAATTTTAAGTAACAAAAAAATTTTTTTAAAGATTTATTTATTTATTTTATACAAGAACTGGGGTACAGACCAAATGTACGGGAGGGTGAGAGGATTCACCCAGAGACAGAGCAGGGAAAGAGCAGGCAGACGGACGAAATACACTGCTGAGGGGAGCAGCGGGTGAGACAGGAGAGGTCTGCCACGCCATGTGGGACCCTCGCCAGCCAGCTGGGATGGAACCAGCGCTGCAGAGGCTGCGGACAGCTTCACAGCGCGGCACTCAACTGCCTGCGCCACAGGGGAGGCCCTTAAGTAAAAAATTTTTGTTAAATTTTACAAATACTGCAAGATCACACATGTATCCATCTGTGAATCTGTCAATATCAAAATGTTGATTCTAGTGTATTAATGGTGTTTCATTTGAATACATCATTCTTTTTGCATGCCAAAGGAAATTATATGTTAAAATGCATGAGACAGGGCCTCCCCTGGTGTCTCAGGCAGTTGAGCACAGTGCTGTGAACCTGTCTGCAGCCTCTGCAGCGCTGGTTCGATCCCAGCCAGCTGATAAGGGACCCGATAAGGTCTGCCCCACCATGTGGGGCAGACCTCTCCTGTCTCTCCCGCTGCTCCCCTCAGCAGTGTATTTCGTCAGTCTGCCTGTTCTATTCCTCGCTCTGTCTCTGGTGAATCCGCTCACCCTCCCTCGGATCTGGCCTTTAGCCTTGCACGGCATCTGCACAGCAAAATTCAAACTGGTGACTGTGCCCAAAACCTCTAGAAGGCTCTTCTCCCACACACCCCTCTCCTTCCTTCCCCTCTCTATCTCCATCCAGACTTTTCTTTCAAATTTCCCCCCCTGTTCTTTGGAAATGGATTATAACCCTTTTAGGTTTGCTCTTTTTCAGTCTACATAGCTACCTCTTTAAAAAACCTATATACTACAGTGGGGAGCAATTAGGGTCAAAATAAGGGGGTTGGGAATAGTATAGGGACTATAACCAAGATGAAAATGCATACAAAAATGAAAATTGTGCAAAAACGAAAATTGATGTAAAAAATATATAAATTAAATTAAAAAAAGAAAAACCTACTTAATAGCGACCATGAGACTGTCAGACAGAATTTTCCTATAAAAGATGATGGTTCTGAAAAATCATACATTGCTTATCTTGTTATAAAGACACAAAAAAATACATGCACATGCACACACACACAGGATTTTACATGTCATTTCAGACCTTTCACAGGTCCCTGCCCAAGAGTCATAAACACCCCAGAAGGTATGACCCAGAGTCAGACACCAGCTCTAAACAACTGATTCCTCAGGACCCACAAGGGATTAGAAGAAAAATCCAGCTTGGACATGATCAGAGCATGCATGAGAAGACAGAGAATCAAGAGGAAACAGGAAACAAAAACTAGATCCAAAATAGGACTGGGATTTGGGATCCAGAAGGATCCATAACCCAGGACCCCTTAGCAAGACCTGACTTGGAAATAGGAATCTGGAAGTTTTGAGAGATCAGCAAATCCTGAACCCCACACTTATTCCTGCTGCAGCCTCTCCTCACATTGACCACCATTGTTCTCACCCACAAGAAAGGACCAGGTGACAGGGGGTCAGAGGGTGTCCTGACCCCACATGACCTGCAGGGAGGACAGGGCAGGTGGAGGCAGGTCTGTGCTCACAAGGGTTGGGGCCCTGCAGTTCTCAGATGGAGGCTCCAGAGTAAGAGGAGACCAGATACCCCAGGTCCTTCCTGGTGGGAGTCCCTGATAGAGAAGGGGTGGAGGGGAGCCTGGGAGGGGTTCCCAGGACTCTCAGGGCCACTCACCTGCATACAGCTGGGCCTTCCTCCAAGCTGAAAGGGAACACATAGGTGACACCTCAGAACAACCAGCTGCTCTTGTGATCCAAGGGCCCTGGTCTCCCCCTGTTCTGCAGGTGAGACTCTCTGGGGGTGGAGGGGAGAGGCTGAGAGGTCATGACCTCCTGCCCTGTGCAGACAGCAGTGGGTGGTGGGAAATCCCTGGCTCAGGTCAGGAGCCTGCAGGACAGACTGACCCACCCTGCCTGATGCTGCTGTGGGGCTTTAGCAAGTCACTGAGCAGCTCTGGGCTTCAAAGACTTCAAAGCTCCTGCTTCACCTGCTACTCAGTGTTGCTACACAGGATCAAAAACAGTATATGGGAAGATATTTTTTTTTTTTATAGAGGCATGTTTTTCTTTCTTTCTTTATTTGTTTGTTTGTTTGTTTTGTTTATACATGCACTGGGTACAGTCAGAAGCGCGGGAGGGTGAGAGAATTCCCCAGAGCCAGAGCGGGGAGCAGAGCAGGCAGAAGGACCGAGGTACACTGCTGAGGGGAGCAGCGGGCAGCAGGAGAGGTCTGCGCGCCATGCGGGACCCTCCTCTGGTGGCTGGGAAGCAGCCGGGGATCAAACCGGCGCCGCAGAGGCCACGGGCCGCTTCGCAACCCAGCGCTCAACCACTGCGCCACCGGGGAGGCCCATGGGAAGATATTTTTTTTAACGTACCTATTATTCCATAGTTACTACATTTAGTATTTCCTTGGAAATTAATGGGAAGAAGAAATAAAAACAAACCATGGACATCACACCAGCTCCTGGGTAGAAATGACCCATCTTCCTCCAATGCAGTATTTCTAGTCATAACAACTCTCTGGGAAAGGGAAAGACCCCCCACTCCCTCCCAGCCAAGGTCACCCCATTCTCTCCCAGCACCACTGATCAGCCTCTTCAGGAGCAGAGAGAACAGACTTTTCTTGGGGGTGTTTGGAGAGAAAGGGCAGGAAGAGGTCACATTCCTAAACTCCAAGAGTCCATTTACTTATCAAAACCCAGAGCCACTGGCTTTAATCAGGGTGCTGACCAAGAAGGAGATGCATTGAGGACTAGAAAGTCAGCACCATGGTGGGAAAGTCAGGGCTGGAATGAGACCAGGATGCAGGGGACTCCAAGGGTCACCACCCACCAGGATCCCAAGAATGGGGGGAATACAGCACCCAGATCTGGAGAGCCCATGGAGCAGGGTCCTGCCTCCAACCGGCTCCCACTTCCACCCCAGGGAATGGTCCACATGTCTGTGCTTAGACAGCCATGGGGAGGGACCCCTGAGCACAGGGGACAGTGACCCAGGATACCTGGACCATCACTCACCAGCCAGGTAACCTGCCTTCCTCTGGCCTGAAAGACAACACAGGACACAGGTGAGCTAAGAACCAGAATGTCTCCCATGAAGGGGACACAGAGAGTTCAGGAGGGAGAGCAGAGCTTACCTAGAATTGCCTGGAGTTCATCTGAAATAGAATTAAAAAATATAAGTGTAAACTGTCCCTAAGAACAAAATTTGCCTAGAGAAGATGCAAAAATGAATCTCTCTGTAGTCCCAGAAGTTTCACATTCAGACCAACATGAGCCTCCAAGCTCCTCTGTCCCCTCTGGGACTCAGTACCTGCTCTGATCTCCCTGCAGAGGGACCCTGGGCTCTGGCTCGGCAGTCAGCTTGTCCCTCTCAGCACTCACCACCGCAATCACCAGCCTGGCCCCTGTCCTGCCCTACCTGTGTCCGACAAGGCCTCCTTCTTGGCCTGTCTGTCCTTCTCCTTAATACTACGCAGATCCTTCTGTTCCTGCAGCTCCCGCATCTGTGTGGAATGTTCTCTCCGGGTGTAGTAAGCAGCCCCCAGGAGAGGGAACAGCAGCAAGGGCAGGATCACCAGGAAAGCTGGCTTCCAGGGAGAGGGCCGGGGGAAGAAGGGCTCTGCAGAGAGAGACCCCATCAGGACACAGCCCAGGACAGCCCAGCCCAGTACCCCTGGGTGAGCTGGCCCCCTGCCCCTGCAGGGAATGGGGCAGGGGAGCAGCGCTGACCTGGGATGACAATGGCCATGGCCTTCTCCTGGCGCAGGACAGGGTTGAAGATGGAGCAGGTCACGCTCCCCACAGAGCTGTCTCTCACCACCAGAGCGGCCTCCACGCTGAACAGCCCCTCAGTGTCCTGGGCCTGGACCTTGGAGAACTCCAGGAACTGCTCCCCACGGGGGTGTCTCCACTGCACCTGGGGTTCTGGGAACCAGCCCGAAGCTGTGCACACCACAAGCACCCCATGCTCCTCTGGCCCCGAGATGTACACTTGGGGAGCAGAGCCCACACCTGTGGAAGGAAGATGAGAGCTAGGTAGGGCAGGGCCACCTGTGCACACCTCCAGGGGAGGCTGTCAAGGTGCACTCTGAGGGGTCTGGGGGAGATCTGGAGCAAGATGATGACCTGATATGTTCATCTTTACCTTTCTACCCATTATTTTTATAATGATATAAACATGTTCAAATCTTTTAGAATTCTTTTCTTGTTGAAGAGTACACCTTATAATCCAAAAACAGGTGTATTTTCTCATTTCTCAGCAACATCTCGGCCTCCATAGTGCAGCTTCTCCTTCTAGTCCATTCTGTTCTGGGTGATTCAACAAAAGGCTCCCATTTGTCAACCCCAGTCTCCAAGGTCCTCTCACCCAGTCTCCCTTCACTCAGGGCACTCCTGACCTCATCTTGAAACTACCTCCAACTTGGACTGGTCACTTCCCTCTGATGGTGGCTTATTGTAACTTGGGCCCCTGCTGAACCCCTTTCCTGACTTTTCTCACTGCATCTGCTCCTTGAAGGCAGCGCAGTCCCAGGGTCCAGTCCTTAAAGACCCATCTTATCTCACACCCTCTCCCAGGGCTTCTTCTCCCTCAGCTCCTGTGTCTCCTCACACATCACTTCCAGATATCACCTCACCAGCCTCCCCACCTCCCTCCCTGATAGCCCCATCCCTGTGGGTTACATCTGCCAGGATTCCTCACATGCTCTTCACACCCAAAATTCTATATCTGAACTCATGCTGTTGTTTCATCTTAAGTAAATTAGCAAAAAAAAAAGTTCCTAATTCTTCACCCTTCTTCATATCAGGTTCACACTCTGCCATGTACATTTTACTCACACTCTGACTCTGGGATCAGTCATGTGACTTCATGTGTCTAATGAGAGATCAGCTCATGTGACTCAGCAGAGGTTTAAAATGCTGCCCCATAGGTCTTTCCTCTGCCATCTCCATGGAAGGACATTGTAGTTCAGGTGGAGCAGGGCCTGTCACCAGCCTTTCCCCCTGAAGCTGTCCTCCCTCAGCCAGGAGCCAGTGACCATTCACGTAACAAGCCCAGCCAAGGTCCACTTGGTGACATTTTCATCTGACCAAAAAATGTAGGAGTAAGTTCAGTGGAGAGTAGTCAAGCCCATCCAGGTTAGTTGAAGTCTCCACCAGCCCATGTTAATACAAGTCCACTTGTATTAACTGAGAGATTTTTTCTGTGATTATTTGTTACACAGCAGCATTATGGTGACAGGCAACTGATACACATTATTAATGTGCCTAACATTAATTATCAAGCAGACTTTACAAAGTCTCATAAGCCTCTGCAATCTCCTCTTCTACTTTAAATTCTGTGACCCAGTTCTCCTCATTCAATTGGGTTTTTTCTAACCTCACTGATGGCACCTCCTGTGCACCCACCGCCACTGTGTGAACCAGCCCTCTGCTCTATCCCATAACTGCAGCCACAACTCCAGATACTGTCCCTGCCCTTGTCCACCCCACAACTGCCAGAGTCACATGCTAAGCATTGTTGTGCTGAAATCTCCAACAGCTCAACATGCAAACACCACAACATGTGCACCAGGACTCCTCATCTGTGACTGATCCTCCTCAGCCTCTTCTCTCTTCAGTGCTCACACTTTTACACCTTCAAGGCCCAACTCCCCAAGCTAAAGAATCTAACCGTTGTTATCCACAATCACCAGGCTCTGTGGACTCCATCGTCCTTTCTTCATCTGGTCCAAGGGGCTTTATAGATCCAGTTAGATAAAATGATGTCCCAGCTCAAATATCTACATCATATGGAGGTTTTATGATTGCCTATGGGAGCATAATCAACCAGCCTCGACCTCTCCACCGTGTACTCACAACATTTTTTTATGACAGTATTGTCACCTCACAACACCCTGCTCCTCACTCTCCCCCACCAGCCATGAGGACTCTATGTGATCAGAATCACACACCAAGCACATGCCCACCCAGGTCATTCACATGGGCTGTGCCTCCACATTGAAACTCCTTTCCTTGGCTACAACATGCCTGTAGCTAATAAGGCTGTATGATACGCAGGGAAGTTGTTAAAGGACAAACACCAAAGAATTTTTTTTTCCACAATGAGGAAGTTTTCCCCATTTTGCTTCTTCTTCTTTCTTTTTATTTAAACCTATAACAGCAGACAGATGTGATTTAACCTATTGTGACAATCAATTCACTATATATATAAATCAGTCATTATGCTGTATGCCTCACATTACATATGATACATATTAATTATCTGTCTATAAACTGGGGAGAAAGGAACACCCACACATCAGATATCTACTCAGCTGTATTCCCACTTCCCTGGAGTCTTTGCTCCCATGGCACCAGCCTGAGCTACTACAGATTACTGTAACCTCCCTTCAGCCCCAGCCCCACAGTGCTGACCCATCTCCCTGCTCCATTTAGCTTCCTGTCCTCGTCCCTTCTCACTTCGAAATATAATTTATGCCCTGATTATTGATTACAATTGCTCTACCATAGCTCCCACTACAAATACAAACTCACAGTGTGAAGAACTTTATTAGATTTGCTTTTGTATCCAAGAGTTTAGAACAGGGCCAGACATGTAGTAGTTTCCCTGTATAATTACATTTCATTAAACATGAATTAATAAGCCTTTTTTTACTCATAAATGAAATGAAAAACTAAATTCCATTGCCTTATTTTCTCAACTCCAAAACTCCAGGATGCTAAGATATTTAACCATGTCACCAACCTGCCACCTGCAGCTCCAAGTTGGCTTGCCCACGGAAGACTCCGTTGCTGAAGAAGCAGGTGTACAGCCCGTTGTCAGAAGCCTGGACCTTGTGGATGGTCACAGCAGCCTCCCCATCACGGAGGAATTTCCCCACCAGCGAGGTCCGCCCTGCGTACTGGGCCATCAGCTCCTCAGGCCGCTCCTGTTGGTCTTGATAGGTGAACACTGACTCCAGGCTATTGGACCGAAACCACCTCAACTCCATGTTCTCTGCACTCATGACTGGGAACAGGGAGCAGGGCAGTGTGGTGTCCTCACCCAGCTCTGCCACAATGGGGTCCGCTGGGGCGATGACATGGAACCTCTCTGTGAACACAGACATGGGAGTTAGAAAGGCTGAGAGAAACAGTCGTATCGGGGAACACACACCATCACTGGGGAGGCCCCGGCAGGCTGAGGGAAGATGGGTATGAGCGGACAGCTGACATGAAGGATTAGCAGTGACAATTCTGAATCTGGTAAAGATCTTCCAACCAAAGCTGTGGTCCAGAAATAATGTCAAAGATGCTCCCTCTGTCACTAGTGTACCTGATAGCAGGACCTTCCATAAAAAACTTTAACTCCATGGTTCTCACCTTCAGCATCACAATCACCAGGAGGGCTTGTAATTGTAAAATGCGGGGATCCTACCCCATGTCTGATGCAGCCAATTGGGATGTACCCAAGAACCTGCATTTCAAAAGAGTTCTTAGGGGACTAAGAAGGTGTCTAAGGAAATTTGTTTTATTGCACAGAGGGTCATCAATATGAATGAGCACACAGGGCTCCCAGAGAACACCAGGCTTGGGACAAAAAGGGACACTCTCATACAGCAGTCAACAGACAAACAGCACCAAAAGGGCCACAGGGAGAGTCATGCTTCACTGACAAAGAGTTAGGCAGAGAGAGACACCTGGAGGCTGTGGTCATGGTGGGGAGGCTGCAGCACACACTGTGGGGCTGTCACTCCACCAGGCATGTGACCCTGGGCAGGGAGAGCTGACAGTGAGGGGCTCACAGCTCTGACTGGGTGCTCCCAGCTAACAAGGTCCCCAGTGAAGAAACAAGGTACAGAGGTGGATGCACTCCTATGTCCCTCAGGACTGGTCCCGCCCTCCTAAAGCTCAGGGACAGTGTACACAGGGCAGAGTCTCAGGGCTGAACTGAGAGAGGCGGGTGTCAGGGGTACCATAAACATGAGCTCACATGCCCCAGCCAGAGCACCCACCCCAGAGGCTGGATGACTTCAGGCCCCACAATCTCTGACTCAGCATCTCAAGGATCAGGTATCTAGTCTTACATAAGGTACAAATCTAACAATACAACAGGGTCACTGAGGGAAAGTTAGAAGTAGTTCAAATCTGTAGGTTACCACTACAGGTACATTTTTTCAAAAATAGGAATTTTCTTTAAAGATTTATTTATTTATGCATATAAGAACTAGGGTACAGGCCAGAGGTCTGGTGGGAGGGGGTGAGAGGATTCACCAGAGCCAGAACGGGAGCAGAACAGGCAGACTGACAGAAATAGACTGCTGAGGGGAGCAGCGGGTGAGACAGGAGAGGTCTGCTACAAGATGTGGATCAGCTCCCTGGCTAGGGATGAAACTCCTGCTGCAGTGGCTGGTGATAGCTTGATAATGCTGAGACTTTACCCCTTACACCACCAGGGAGGCCCTCGGATATTTTTTTTTAAACAAGTAAAATCATGCCATTTACAACAACATGGATGGAACTTGAGGACATTATGCTAAGACAAATGAACAAAGGCAGTTCCTGAAGAAGAAGCTCCCAGAGCCCCTGGGCCCCACCCACCCTAGGGAGACACAGGAACAGGGAGAGACACACTCACCTTGGGACCCCCCGGGGGGCAGCTGGAGGAGGAGCAGCAGGGAGGGGAGGAAGCAGAGCACAGAGCTGGGGCAGGAGCTGGGCACCATCTCCTCAGGGCTGGGGAGAGACAGGGCAGGAGGAAGCCAGGCCCACACAGAGGAGCAGGGCAACCAGGAGCTCTGGGCTCGGGGTGGTGGGGGGCAGTGCCCAGGGACCCCCCACCAGCAGGAGCAGGGCACTTCCTTGTGACCCCTTAGGCCCTGAGACCAGAAGGACAGATCTGGCTCGTATCAGGGCTTCTGAGCCTCTGTGCTGCTAGAGACCATGAGTTTTATTGGAGGAAAACATCCTCCATTACCTTCCCACCCCAGGGAACCCACACCCCAGATCCACTCTGCTCAGAACACCAGGCCGCTCCATTTCCAGCACCTGGACCCGGGGTGCAAACTGTGCTCCCCTCCCATCATCACATTCAGTGACTCCCTGAGACAGGCCCAGGCCCAGGCCCCCCATGAAGAACAGGCCAGCACTTGCTTGTGGTCCTGTCCCCTCTGTGTGAGCAGGTGTGCCTGAGAAGCCTCAGGACACACGACACTGTCCCCAAGGAGTTGGGGTCTCCCCACAGGCCCCTGTCCTGCTCTGTCTGCTTGTTCAGTTCACCTGAAGGTCAGTCCCTCCCCAGCCCTGACCTGCCAGGGCCAAGGACAAGGTCTGCCCCAAACACAGCAGGAGTCGGGTCAGATTCCCACTGAGGGCTTTGTCCTTGTCCTCTCTAACTCTGTGGGGATTCCTGCCTTGGGGTGAGGGACCCAGTGAGACAGAGCAGCAGAGAAGGGAAATGAGTCCAGCTCAGAGAAAACACCCTCAAACCACATATTGGCTGGGGTTGCGGGGAAACAGGTGAGGGACCTGGGAGGGCAGATTCTGGGGCTGTCTCTGAGGTGGTCTCTAGACTCAGCCACTCTCTGTGTGACCATCTTCATCAAGCCTCTAAACCTTCCTGCTCACTTTCCCCACAGAAAAATGGGAATAATATCAGCATCCCCCAGCCAAGATTGGAATGAGAATTACATGAATTATATTTGAAGAGTCACTACCTATAATTCTAGAACAGGGTCCTGCCCCAGGAGTGTTACAGACACATTATTAAAGTAAGTGAAGTACAATCTTCACTGAGTTTGTGCTGGGTCCTCTCAGAGCTGGCGCCATTCCCTGTGCCACCTCCCATCCCACCCAAGGCCCATTACCTTCTCAGCCCCTCCTTACAGTCAGCTGCTCCCCACTATCTTTAGGTGAAAGAAACATGTCTTCAAAACTGACATACCTGCTTTGAAATGGTGGGGCTTCTAGGGCTTCAAACTTGAGAAGTTTCAGTGCTTCCCCAAATCTTCTTACAGAGTTAGCACCTGCTGTTAGCAGCTCAGGAGCCCTGCTGGGTGCCAAGGAGCCTCATAGCTCAGATAAGATGGTTCCCAAGAGAGCAGACAGACAGAATTCTGTGCTCGTGGAGGGGTGTATCACCAGAGGTGGGATCCCTGGGATCCTCTTATTTTTCTCTTAAAAACCCAATCACCCTTCTCAGGCTCCTTCTACCATTTGAAAGTGAAAGCTGAAATCCAATCCCAGCAGACTCCACCCTGCCCTCTGGACAGTGCACCCCAGTTGGGTTATCAGCAGGAAAAGAGTAGAATTAGAGGAGGGGCCAACAGAGGGGATGGGCAGGCACACTGATAACCCTGCAGGCGCAGGGGAGGTGCCCATCCAGCACCCACTATTGAGCACCCACTGTGCTCCAGGCTGCTTGACTTCCAGGACCATAACTAGGGGTGAGTTGGGGCCCAGTCAGGACTGACTCTGAGCCCACAAGCCACTGCCTGTGCCGACGGTGACCATACAAATGACCTCAGGTGAGCTGTCACCACACATGGCAGAGCCTGTGAGGAGCCCCAGGGGACTGTTTTCTTCTCCTCACAGCAGCTGACGCAGGAGCCCCCACACCTTGGACACCAGGAGTCAGCACTGGGCACCAGGAGCTGCCAGGACCTAGTACTGCCCACACTTCATGGACGGGGCCTGTGGCTTGTTCAGATATTAATGTCACCCGAGACCTGGTCACAGTGACCAGACCCTGTCCCTCCAGGACACGGGGTCACCAGGAATGCCAGATTCTGTGTCTCCAAGGAAACCATGGGACCTGGGCCTCCCCTCCCCCCTCACTTCCTGTGGTTTCCCCTCCTCAGTGAAGGTCACCCGTGTCCCCCCAGTTTTCTCTGCCAGAGACTTCAGGGTCATCTTCACAGTCCATTCCCCACCCAGTCTTCTTCCAATGCACCCAAATGTTCAATCCATGTCCACGACCAGCACCTATTTCACATCACCCTCATTTCTCACCTGGCCCAAGGGTCGCCCCACCACACCTCTAGCCTCACCTCCCCAAGTCCATTTCCTTCCAAGATCATGATCTCTAGTCAGCTCATGACATCTCCCTGTCTCGTCCCTTCAGCGGATCCTTCTGCTTAAAGGAGGGTCTCCCAGGTCACCTCCTCCCTCTCTGACCTCCTTCCATTGCTCTCCCAGGGACCCCCTCCTGGCTCAGGTGACTCCTCCAATTCAGGGAGCTCTCCCAGCCTCAGGCCTCCTCACAGTCTCTGATGTTCCTGCTGCCTCTGCTCCCCAAACGCTCACCTTTCAGGTCACATTTAAAGTGACCTGCTCAGAGGAGCCCCTGCCAACCTCCTGATTCCACTTATGCATCCCACACCTGCTTATTGGGGTTGGGGGGTCCTGTCCTCCACCCCAGCCCTGATGTGTGTCATCTGAGAACCATGTGGGATCCCGGGAGGAGGCCCTATGAGTCCTGCTCCGTATTCTGCAGGGAGGGGCCTCACCAGCTTCAGCTGACCTTGTCTGCAGAGGAGACGCTGCTGCTGCTCCTGGGTCCCTTGGCCTCGTCCACTCAGAAAAGCCCTCGGTCCATGAGATGTCACCTCTGACCTGAGCACCAGCCTCTGATAGACACAGTGTCCACCATGCTGCCCTGTCTGCTATTCTATCCCCCAAATATAAGTGACTCACTAATCACATCTCACTGAGCTGGAATCATTCAGGGCAGCACCTGTGTCTGTCCCCCAGACCCTCCGAGGGCTCAATCCCCAGAGTCACTGTTATAGAGCAACCCGATATTAAACGGGTTCCTGGCTGTGGGTCCTCACCCGCGCGCTTTAAAGGGACTTATGAATACTCTACTACAGACACACGCAAAAGGGTTAATAAAAGGTTTATTTACAAGAGAAAAAGAAATAAGGAAAATGTACAACTCAGGGAGAAAATAGGGAAATAAAGTCTTTAATGTGTCCTACCCGATCCGACGACCTGGAAACCCCAAAGTCACTCTCAGAGCTAGACGGACGCCGCGAGCTGGCCGAGGGCCCCAAAATGGAGAGAGCCCCAAAGCCCACATGTCTGCCTTTTGTATCCACCTGGCTGCTTAACCCCACCCTCAGGTCCCAGC